GTGTCCTTTCCTTGGGGCTATTATACACAGGTTCTCGTTGGGTTGCAAGGCATCTAGGAGTCATTGTCATCTAAGAGAACAGCATGGGATGCACATGGAAGTAGCTTGTGTTGTAATTTCCTTGACCTCTTTTATGCACTCGATTCATTAGCTGTTTGCTACTGTGTTGTGATCAGTCTGATTATTGAAATAACAAATACCATCTTTGGTGTCTTGTAATGTAAGATGGATGTGAATTGTCATTCAGGGAGGAGAAAAACTATTATTCACCTATCTCCTGGCTTCTGAGGGCCAACCTGAAACTTGCATCCGATTTATAACTTTGTTTTTATGGCAAGTGTGGAAGTCTTGGGACCCAGGAAGCCCTTTTCTCCCATTCCTCTTCTGTCAGAGCTCCTGGCCCTGGTCATCCCTTTTGTGATGGGTGGAGGCCCGGCCTGCAGGACACCTCCCCTTCAGTGGGACTGGGTGGCAGGTGCAGGGCAGGTGGAGAGTGGGTGGGGGGCAGAACCTGCGGCAACACCCGAGCCCCTGGTTTTTGACGTCCATGCTAGTCATCAGTGAGATGTCAATGAAGTTAGGGAGTGCCTAAATTGCTGGTTAGTGCTCCTGATAAAGGATTTGCAGGCAAGGTGTAATTGGCGAAGATGAATTTGCAGTGTTGTCAATGGGTTTCATTTAAAGATGTCTTCTCTCCTCCACCATGACCTTGGCTAATTGGGAACTTACTAAAAAAACTTTAGTGAAAATATGGTTCATACCAGTGTGTTTGGAAAACTGTACTGAGTGATAGTTCACATTCATTCATATCACTAAACTGAGGTTATTCTTTGGTAACCAAATGTACTAGTGACTGATAAATTAGTCCACATAAGGCCTAAAGAAGACTATGTAGCCACAGTTTATTTCATTATTTTGATAGGAGAATATAGTACGTTTAAAACAACTAACTTTAAAAGATTGTTTGAATTTTTTCTCAAAATAGAAATGACTTTATTGCTTTTTGATAATAAAAACAATAAAGATGTCAGGCAGTTCAGAGAAGTATAACTAGAACACACTCATAATCTTACCCCTCAGAGATAATATCTGTTAATATTTTGATAAAATAGGTCCCCTTTTTCTACTAAATGTGTATATATTTCAATAAATGTGGTATTCTCCTACACATTTAACAAAAATGGTATTTTATTCATACTGTTTTATTTTCTTTTTTTCTTAAAAATATGTTATGAACCCAAATTAATAAATAAAATTAGATCTAGATACTTATTTTTAACAAATTGCCAATTAGTATATATTTTAAATGTTTATAATTTTTTATTATCATATACTACTCTATAATAAATATTTTGTTTAATTTTTCCAATTATTTTCTTAGGACAGATTTCTAGAAATGGAATTTCAATGTTGATCCATATTTTTCTAGATTGCCCTCCAAAAATGTATCCGTTGCCTCTCCTGTCAACATTTTTGGAAAACATCCTTTGCTAACACTGGTTATTCTGCTGTTACTAACTTTTATGTGGAGTTTTATTAATAGAATACAGCCTCTTCTTAAATTGAGACCTATGCATTTGCTGAATCTCAACATTTTTCCCAGACCAGCCCCCTGATGTTAATGCTAATCTAAAAGCTAAAGCAGCTGAGAAGCTGTCAGCAGGAGAGGCAAAGAGGAGACTCCAGATTCCCCGAGTAAATAAATCATAATTGCATAGTTCTCAGTTATTTGGGGGATAATTACCTGGGTATTTTTGGATTGGAGAGCAGGGGTAGTGTTGAAACAATCTTCAGATTTTTTTCTTTAGATTTTTCTATGTTATGAAGGCCAGGCACCGTGGCTCATGCCTGTAATCCTAGCACTCTGGAGGCCAAGGTGGGAGGATCGCTTGAGCTCAGCAGTTGGAGACCAGCCTAAGCATGAGCAGACCCCATCTCTACTAAAAATAGAAAAATTAGTGAGTGTTGTGGCATGCCCCTGTAGTCCCAGCTACTCGGGAGGCTGAGGCAGGGGGATCACTTGAGGTTATAGTGAGCTATGATGAGGCCACTGCACTGTACCCAGAGTGACAGAGCAAGATTCTGTCTCAAAAAAAAAAAAAAGAATATATTTAAAAATGCAGCTCTGAATTGCCTCCTATGTAGGTTCAATATACATTTTATAGTCCATAAATTACTTTACTTCATTTTGACACCTGAGATTAAAACAAGTACAAAAATTTATTTAATTAAAGCAACATTCTACCGAGGTAGAGTCTATAAAAATATGCATTAGAAAAATATAATAAAAAAGAATAGTAAGGAGATTTAGATTACCTCAGAATTTTGTCAAGTATAACCTCAAAAATGGTTTGAAAATAAACCACCTGTGGTAAGGTAATGGGGTTGGGGAAGGACACAGGAATTGAGCAGTTTATGATAACAAAATCCACATACATGCCTGGCCCGGCGACTGTCATTCATTTATGAGCAGCAGTTTGTGAACACCTGAAGTTAGACTTTGAATTGTGTATGTGTATCTGTGTGTGTGTGTGTGTGTGTGTTTTTTGGTAACAGTTTCTTTAAAAAAACCAAAAAACAAAAGGAAAATAAAATGTGTCTGTGTTTTTCCTCCCTTTTCTCATTTGATTCAGTGTGGAGTTGAAAACATCAGAAGAGCAGAGTCTCTTAATGGAAATCCATTGTTCTCTAAGGTACCTGTAGTGTTACAACCATTTTAGTAGAACATATCGGAGAGTAATCCTCTGAGAAACTCTTGCAGAATATTGGTTTTCTCACATATTAGAACATTTGGAGTTCCAATTAATTACAAAAATAAAATCGAATTCCTTAACCGCTCACGTTTTTTTCCTTCAGATAGCCCCAATTTTCTTATTTCCATCCTCCGAAAACCATCTCGTTTAAAATCTTTTCAGAGAGAAGGTTTAGTGGGTGGGGTAAGAGGATTTCATTTCCTGAAATCTCCGTTTTAACTTTCCTTAAGCTGAGGATTCTCAGGAAGGGAAGATGTACAATTGGGTTCAAAGGATTCACAACTCAAATGAAAAGAAACCGCAAGCAAACCGGGGCGATGATCTGGGCGGATGGGAGCGGGGAAGGCGTGGGGGCCGAGCAGACTTTTGCTTCTGACGGTTCTCTGCTTCCTGCGTGTCTTCCAGGCCCTGGCCGATCTGGTGCACTCGCACATCCAGTCAAACGAGCTGTGCTCCAAGCAGTTGACGCTGAGTTGTCCGCTCTGCGTAAATCCTGTCTGCAGGGAGACTAAATCCTTCTTCACCAACCAGCAGCTGTGACCCCTGCCCGAGGACTTCGTGGGATTAGGCAAATTTGCCAACCTCCAGATACCTCCAATGTGGAGGAGGACGTTATTTAGAGATCAGGAACAGAAGTCACATTAGTATACGTGCAGCCTTTGGGCACAAATTGTGTGATGTCTTGAGGATTGGACTCTGAAATCCTTACTGAGGGATTTCTGTTTTTATATAGCTAAACAGTAACCATTTATATTCCCCCTCTCTGGGTGAAGTTACTAGTTTGTAATGTGCACTAGGACATTGAAAAATGAGTTTTAAAATTTATCTTCTGAGACAGACCCCTATTTTAAATATAGATTTTGGTTTTACTGCCCCAAGCCCCCCTGAAAAGGTACAGACAGCCCCCTCTGTGGGCTGTCAGTGTGAATGAGATCTGTTTACAGTCTCGTGCGTATAGTTGTAGTTTTTAAAATGAACAAAGTTGAGTATTTGAATGAATTTGAAAAAGAAATGTTACCTGATCTTTCCCTAAGCCCGTGGGTGAGGTGTTTGGTTACATACAGCGGCTGCTTTTGCCAGGCAGGCCTCCATTCATCGGTCATTTTGGTATTTGTGTGTGAGTCTCACTTTCCTCGCCGTAAAACTGAGTCAAGTACAGATTTCGAAAGTGTTCTGAGATTTCCCAGGCATGCAAGGCTGATAAATGTCTAGAAATCCAGCGTCACCGTACTCCTTGGTCAGAGTCCCTGGGGCCACAGGGACGGGGCTCCGCCGCTTCCCTTCTGCAAGGACAGAGCTGCTGGGAGACACCAAGGGTGGGCTTCTCCCCCTTAAACCTCCTCCCCAGCCCTCGAGAGCCTTTCCTTCCAGAGTCTTCTATATCTTAGTTGAATGTCTCCTTTCTGCACATTTTTCTTAAGAATTATTTTATAAGGACAGCTCTGCTTTGTAACCTTGAACTTTTTATTTACAATTTTTTACTATAAAAATTATATAGCCATACAATAGGACATTTGAAAAATACAGAAAAGAAAACCACTCTAAAATTATGCTATTTCGTGCCAGTCTTTTCCCGTGGATATTTTTAATGCCATTGTGACCTTGAATTGGGGAGTGGAAAGTTGTTCTAAAAATATAGAAATAATGTTAGATCAGAATCTGATCTTCTGTATTTGGATTTACATGGATTAAAAGATCTCTGATGGATCCATGAAGAATTTGTAATGATCACTTTCTCTTTTCTCCAAGCCCTAAAACTTTGTTCTTCAAAAGAGCATTTCTTTGATTTTTTTTTTCAAAGTAAGTTTATAAACTGGAAGTATTAGGGGATTCATAGACCTTCTATATTCAGAGTTTGCTTTGTTAATAAATATTAGGACATCATTAAGGTTGTAACTAGTGTGATTCATGCTGTCTGCTAAATCAAAACTGATCAAAATTATTAAGTGTGAGGAGTTGACTTTGTAATACAGGAAAAGAAACATGCCATCCACTTATAGTTGTCCTACACTGATAACGGCCCTCAAATTTGAGTAGCATCTTTTCTCTTCCCCGTACATATAGTGTTCTGAAGAATATACATTTGTGAACTGCTTTTTTAAATTAAAAGAAATTTTTGCACTTAAAAGAAAATTTGCTTTATATCAGGAGAAGTAAAGTCATTGTTAAAAGGCCTTTAACTGTGTGTCAGCAGCATGTTGGTGCCTACTAAATAGTAAAAATCTGTGACTTTTCCTGATAATACCTCAGAGTAGACATCTTGCTCAGATAATCCCATGAACAGAATGTGACCTTTCTCTAGGATTCTGTTAAGTTTTTCTTTACAGCTGAAATTATTTAGACAATGATGATTGTGTAGCTTTGAAGAGAAAACGGACTTTTCTGAAGAGAAAGTGGACTTTTCTGCTCCAAGTTGCTCAGACTAAGCCTGTCAGAGGGAACATTATATCAACAATACTAAAGTGATATTAGGTCATTTATGTTTTCAGCTGATCTTAAAAATAGATTTTTCTTTTTTCTTCTTGATTTCTTTTTGGGGAAAATACACTGAGGTGATGGAATGGGTCACTTAAAGTCACTGCATTTTTTCCCTCAGCTAATCCGTTCTCATAAATTGGGTATTTAATTCAAAAAACGCTTATTTAAGGCATGTAGAAGAGATGATTTGCTCAATCTGATACCATTGTGTTTATCCAAAATATGTTACTACACCTCAGGGGTGAGAGGATCAGGCTGCAGCCACACCTAGAGTAGGACCAGCAGCAAGACCTGACCCCTGCCCAGAGTTCAGATGACCAGGGGGCATCTGCATTCCTAGGGGCTCTGCTGTATTAGCGCCTCCATTCTGGGGTGGGTGGGGACTGAACAAGGGCCCACCTTACACAGCTGCAGCTGGAGGGCAGAACTTAGGGCTAATAGCCATAAAAATAACACCTGTGCGTGTGCCCGGGTGCACGTGTGGGTACAGGTGCCTAAGCCAGGAGCCTTTGATTCATCTTTAGTACCTGCATCTCTAACCTCTCCACCTAGCCTGAAAGGCAGAAGCCATCAGGGTCCTGATGGTGGCACAGGGACCTGCTTCCCAACGTTAGGTGGAAACGGGAAGTGAAGGAAATTCCGAGTTCACGCTGAAACTAGTACCTTAAATTAAGATTATTTAGTTTTTCAGTTGTTAATAGCAAGGTGGAGACTCCTCAAAGGAAGACAAAAGCTCATCATTTCTTTTATTAATTCTAAAAATTACAAAATTAAAAACACTTAATTAAGGTCATGCCCCAGAAAGGATTTGCAAATATTGTTCACAGGAGTTTTGTTCTAATAGCCTAATAATTGAGATTCCTTTATAACAGGCTCCTTCAGTAACTTCTCCCAGTCTAGGTGGCTTTTGGTGACACGCAAATTTCATTTCCTAGAAACTAGCATCACAAGGTTTCAGGGTACATATGTCAAATGGGTTAAAACTCAACATCGGGATGGCTCAAGAAACCTCACTTCTGCTTGAATTGTTGCCAGTTAAAATATTTAGTTGTGTCTCAGTCGCGTTGAAGTTCATGTGCTTACCTTTTGGCAGTCCTGGTTAATTCAGATAGTGGCAGCTGAACACCTTTGATTTTTTTTTTTTTTTTTTTTTTGCCAGATTTCTTCTAGCTCTCCGTTTGTGTGATATGGCTGGTATCTGATCTTTGCCTTAAAAGTTGTGCTGCTTTTCCAAATGCACGTATTTTGCAAGGTATAAAGTGGTGTGCAGAGCTATATAGCACCAAGCCAAGTGGTGAGTACCTGCAGGTGCTCAAGAGAAATAAATTAATGCTGCGGATATTTGTTGAAAGGCACTAATATGATGACCAATAGCAGGTGGTGTCCTTAAGCCAGACCACCGCTCCCTGCGTGTGCTGAGTGTTATAAAAGAGAGGCTCTGGGAAGTGCCTGCCTCTAGGGAACCCATTCATAATATTCTAGGATCTCAGGAGAGGAAGAAATGCTTTTGCGTTTGATGTGGGAATCTTATTAAGCCTATCTATAGGGAAAAGGATGTGAAAAACTAATGCACCCTGTGATAATCAGTTTCTCACAATACCCTTTGATAGTACTGGCTTCATTGTTTTTAGCTGGAATCATTAGCTTCCATTTTTAGTGTAACAGCGATTGGCTAAGTTAATCTACAGTAGGCCATTAAGAGGGATGTTGGAATTAAAAACATTTTTGGAAAAAAGCCTGGTTTGAGTCTTTGTTATAAGCCCTGGGGCAGAGATCTGGGTCCTGCTTCTGGTTGCTTGTGAACTGTCTCTCTGACAGTTTTGTTTCCAGACACACATTCGTAGCCTGCTCCTGAAATGGGAACACACAAGTCAGCTTTTCCCTTCCAGCCTCCCCTGTGGCTCAAAGCTGTACTTTCTTGTCATGTTAAGAAATAATAGGTTTAACCCTGAAAATTCATGAAGTATTCTGTATTTTTACCTTTTCGTATTTTAAAAAACCTGTATATATATATGGGATGGAATTGCCTGCACAGACATACTGTGTGTTGGCTTATGAACCAATAGTTAATTTTCAGGTTGTTAAACAATAATCATTAAAAATGATATAACTTTCAAATTATGTTAAAAACAAAGGGTAACACTCAAAATTCATCACTTCTTAGTTATTTTATCATATTATTGTTTTGTTGATTTTTTTTTTTTTTGTGACAGAGTCTCAGTCTGTTGTCCGGGCTAGAGTGCAGTGGCGTCATCATAGCTCACTGCAACCTCCAACTCCCAGACTCAGGCAATCCTTCTGCCTCAGCCTCCTGACTAGTTGGGACTACAGGTGTGCACCACTATGCCTGGCTAAGTTTTTTATTTTTTGTAGAGACAGGTTCTCACTGTTGTCCAGGTTGATCTTGAACTCCTGGCTTCAAGCGATCCTCCCACTTTGGCCTCCCAAAGTGCTAGGATTACAGGCGTGAGCCACCAAACCCGGCCTCATTTTGTTCATTATTAGACAAGTGATGGGAAAAATATTAATAAGGCATTTTAAAAGTTGTCTCTGTAGCCATTATATTGTGAATAGCACAAACACTTGAGGACATATTCTTCCATTATTTGAAAACTATTATCCAATTTATCCAAGTGAAGTTTTGACATACAAAGTTGTTTCATGTTTGCATTACTCATTCATATAAACAAAAACATCAACATTCATATCAGAACTACACGCGTTGACCAATTGCAACCATAGGTTGGGCTGTAGATACACGAGCTTGGTAAATATCCACAAAAGCATTCTTTGAGAATCAATTGACCATAGGGAATTTACAGAAAAGAGGATTGTATATTTTATTATTTGTAAATTGTGTGTTCCTCATCTTTAGATCAACGAAATTTGCAATAAACATCCACTCACACGTGTGCGTAGATTGTTTTTTCAGATTGCAGGTTGGTGACGATTTACCAGCACACTGTTGCCCGGGAGGGAACTTTTCTGGAATGATGGAAATGGCAAATATGGATTGTTCCTTGTATTGTCCTCCAGACTCATTACATAGAGCGGCAACTCTCTCTGTGATGCCTATTAGGAGTGAAGCTACCACACAGTGACCAGGGGAGCTAGTCTTTTTAGTAAGATTCCATTTGTTTCCACCAAAACCCACGGGCCCGTTGCACTAACAGAATCCTTGCAAAGTGATTCCCAGTCAGCAGTTCCAGCCAGAGAGCTGGATGGGTGAAGAATTTTCCCATGGCCAAGGTCTGTCTGAAAAGTGGGTTTTGTTCTACTTCTCATCTTCCTCGGCCCTGGAAAATTGTCACACGTGAGGACCACACACAGCAGTTGGTACTTTTCAGGGAAACATGAATTGCTCATTCTTAAGATTAGGCGACGGCTCCCTCTGTGCCTGCTTTTATTTCCCAGGGGAGGTCCCTTCCCATCCAGTCTGGTAGGGCCAAACCTCGGTGTGTCTATGACAGTCGGAGAGGATGAAACGAGCACTGTGCGCAGAGCTGCAGGATTGCAACCGGCCCCTGAAGGCAGCCCGTCTTTCCACTGATACTGGAGGGACACTCTCACCGCAACGTCACTGTGGTACTCTGGGGCCCGAGGTCGCACAGTTCCTGTTTTTCCCGAAGCAAAACGATCTTTTCCCAAGGCTAGGCTCTGCAGATGAGCAGTTTCTTTTATTTGTGTCTTTCTCCTGTCCATGACATGACGGAAAAGAATATTCTGTGTCAAACAGTGATTGCCAACCTCTTCCTATGCCTCGGAGCTTTACCAAAATAGAGATGACTGCTTCATGCAGCCACCTCACCGTCTGGTGTCCCTCTGACCTCTCTGAGCCTCTTCTGAGCTCCCTTCCGCTCATTTCTGCGACGCTTTCTTTTGTTTCCGGTCGCGGTGTTGTTCTTTGCCGCAATCCCTCGCTCCTCAGGAGCTAGGAACATCTTCAGGGTTTTATGGCTGATACCTTCCGTGTCCCCCGAAGGCCACGTACCCAGCGGAGCAATGGTGGTGTCTA